AACTTTTGATCACAGTAAAACTACTAAAACAATAAGTTTCTGAAGTAATCTCCGAAAATAAAAGTTTCTCATAAATGACTAAAAATACACTCATTTGACTTAAAATACTTAGCTATGTCCATTTTTGTTGTTAAAATTCAGAAAAAATATACTTATTTGGTATGCCAACTTTTGATCACAGTAAAACTACTATACCAATAAGTTTCTGAACAAATCTCTGAAAATAAAAGTTTCTCAAAAATGACTAAAAATACACTAAATTGGCTTAAAATACTTAGCTATGTCCATTTTTGTGGTTAAAATTCAGAAAAAATATACTTTGATCACAGTAAAATATTATATCAGAGGTCGTCAACCTGCGGCTGTGGAGCCACATGTGGATCTTTGATACCTGTGGCTGTGGAAAATAAAGAGCGTAATCCTTGTGTGTGATGGATGATGGAGAAAGAAAGAGAGAAAGAGGTGTGTGTGTGTGTGTAAACTCACCAGCCACCAGGTTTCACCAAGGATAGATGGGCGTCACTTTTAACACTTCAGTGGTTTCCGTCCTTTTCAATTTTCCTCCAGTGCAATTCTGCCCTCTTGTGGACAAATGTATGGTTACACAACGAAGTCATCTTTGAAAGAAACCCTGCAGACGTTACGATCATTAAGAAAATGTACATTATGCTGACATAGTATTACTAACAGAAAATAGCTGACTTTATACAGATACTTTGTGTATAGTATACTTATAGAAACGCTACATAACATAGAGAACTACTAGAGTCAATCTTCTAGTTTGCAACCATTACTTTTCCACGTACATCACATCCATTGTAAAAAGCACAGTGGGAGGGCGGTAATACCTGCAATGCATTTCACTGTCCAAGGCTAAGCTCCGACGCCGTAGATAGGTGGTGCTGGTTACGTCAGCAGGCAGTGTGTGGGCGGATGCGTGGGTGAACATGATTTCCGAATGAGCTTGTGCGTAGAGAGAAGTAAAAGCCTGACAAGAAGCCATGTTGAACTCATCTTTTCCGGATTACTTTGAGCTCAGTGTGTCGCAGGTTGAGGGGGAAGAGCAAATAAAATCCACGCTTCCAGGATCCGACTGATCCTCTCAGATCTATGTGACAATATAACAAAAGTCTACTGTTGAGATGAATAGGAAATGGTCAACAAGAGGCCATGATGGACTTAGGATGTTTTTGTTGTTGATTTCTTGTTTTTTACTGGATTTATTGCACAAACAGCACAGACAAAATGTACACAAGTGTTACTACATTGTTAAGAGAAGTGGGAAAATAACAAAACAACAAAGGACAGTTAACGCATTATTCAAAGCTTTCAAATGTTTTGACACAGGGCTTACATTCCCAACATTAGGTCCTCAACCAGATTTTCTAGTTGGAGAATATCAAATAAGACAGCCCAACCCCACTCCCACCCTAAAACAAACAAAACAAAACGGAAAAACAAACCATAAAGCACGCATCAGTAAGGGAAAATAATGGACATAACAGTAAACATGGCTTCAAATGGTACAACTCAGGTATTAAAATTCAGTACATTTCAGTAACCATTTCAAAATAAACCTTTCGATAAAAGGTCAACAACCTCTCACCCTCAGTGACTCTACAGCGTGTTTCACACAGCAAACTAAATTAAGAGTTTTTATAAAGAGGAAATCTGGCAACTTGTAACACAAAACACTGTTGTTCAAGGTCACTCTTACTCTGTGTGTTGGGGGTGGGGTGGGAGGAGGGGCTGGGGCGATGTAAAATACTGGTTCCGGTTCAGTCCAACACAGACACTCAAAAAATATTTCAAGCATGATGCAACATGAACAGCTTTAGAGTGAGACACCACACGATCTGGGATGAGCTTGATTGGACTGGAAAACCCTGAGGTCTTGGTCAGAGTTAGAGAAACCTTTTGGTGCTGGACTGGTTTCAGAAGTAACTTGGTTTGTTTACAAGTCAGTGTAGGGGCCATTATGTCATTAAACATTTTACTGAGGATTCTACAGTCTATATCACAAAGCCCACTTCGTGTCTTTACCAACTAATGAGATAGTGGTCAAGACACGAAACATGTTGGTGAATATGACCGAACACTTCCAATTTTAACCAGGTTGTGGTGCTGTTTTCTAACTTTCACTGACGTTATATTTCTACTTATCAGTGACAATAACCGTCTCCAGGTGATTCAGCACCTGTTTCCCAGAGCAATTAAATCATGACTACATGCCACAACTGCAGTACAAAGTGAATGATAGAAACAGCGTTACGATCTGTCTGTACTTATTCAAATGAAGCAGTGGGAGAATGTGGACTACATCGGAACAAACCCTTTGGTTCTGTGTTGAAAACTGCCAGACTTCCTTGGTATTTAATTTGTTAGCATGTGTAACAGTCATAAATACACACATTTTACATCTCTGATAGATTATTTTTGCATATTATGACAACTTTTAAATGAGGGAAAGTGTCAGTAACACAACAGTTCTCTACAGTGTGTTTGCATGGACTGATGCGTCGAGTCTTTGGTACAGCGTCAGCACCGAGATACAGAGGCTTTCAACTGCAAACACGGTCACACTGAAGCATTACTTCAAAAACAAACAAAAACCCACAATGGCTTTTCCTTTCTTTCTTCAAACTTCCTTTTTCATTAACTAACCATGAAAGGGACATTTTCTATTTTAGTAGAAAACTAATCACAAAAAGACAATCTCTATTTTTAACTGTACTGCACCCTCAACGGTCAACAAAGTTTGGGGTTTGGACTATGTCGAAGGGTGAGTGAGGCAGGTTCTTCAAAAGGTGGTGCGCACCCATTCGTAGACCACAAACTTTCTGATGCAAAGACTATTTATAAGGAATGGATGTAGTCAGCTGAACAAAGGAGCCGCTGTAAAGATTGCACTCCATCTGAATTATGACTAAAAATGGCACATTTTTCCAAAGATCAGCCGTTCCGGTGAAAATGCAATTCAATCCATAGATATTTTGTGATTGCAATTTATCATTAAAAAAAATACTAAATATTTTCAGTAATCAGACAGTCTTTACATGTGAAATCTGTATCCTAAAGGACATGTACATGCATCTAAATACATGCTCCAGGATACTGACCAAGAAAGTACCAATTATGAACAGACAACTCTGCTTGTTTCTTGTTGTGAATTGGACTTATTCCTGTCAGAATCATTTATAGTTTTTAAAAATAGCATGTTTTTTTGAAGTTCCCCTTCAAAAATGCTAAAACATTTCCAGTCAATTTTCAAAGCTTCACTCTAGACCACAGATAACTACCTCCAGTTTTTATATACAGTCTATGTTTTTATGACAATAGGTCAGTACAACAAAAGGCAGAGGAGAGTGTGTGCAGGAGAAGGTGGAGGCAGAGAAAAGCTTTAGGAAGGCACAGAGCTTTAGAGAGCGCATTCCTCTAGTACATAAAAGTCTCATAAACTCACACACGGACACACACACGGCCCCCCCCCCCCCCCCCACAAACACACACACACACACACACACACACACACACACACACACACATGCACACATATAGACAACGGTATGTTGGCAAAAATATGTAAAGAAGAACAAAAAGGAGATAAAAAAAATTGAGGGTTTTTTGTAGTATCACACCAGAAAGCATAAGTGATTGTTATAGCGATTTAGTGCAACGTGATGCAAAAGTATCTGTGAATGGCACTGAATGACACTCCAGGAATAAGGGATGAGTACTCTGTCAATTTCAAATATACATCTAGTATTTGATTAATCAAAAAACACACACACACAAAGCTTTTAGAAAAAAAAAGATTAGGTGAAGAACTGTCGGGAGCAGCAGAAAAATCAGAGGAGGTTCCTGTTGCCGAAGATGTTTTTGGGGTCCACAAAGTCCTTGACGGACTTGAGCATTCCCATTCCCACACTGGAGATGGTTTCCCTCATCCACTCTTTTCGCAGTGTGCCCACTGAATGT